TTCGAAGCAAATAATAATAAAAATATTAAAAAGTAAATACAACTGTCAGTGTTTAAATTCAGTCTGGATCTTTGAATAATATTTTTTTTGGTTTGCAGTGAATTATACAAAATATGCAAATTATAAAATACAAATTAGTTTTGAATTTTGATGAATGCGCCAAAAATAATTTTATTGTCTAATATTTTCACCAATCCTGAATTTTATTTTAAACTTCATAAATGTTCATATTGCGATATTTTTATATAATACTATTTTAATAAATAGTACTTATGTACGAAATTGAACAGTATATATGTATATACCTGCATTGTTTTCCACGCATTATTATTCCATTCATCGAGTGTTTGTGCATGTATTGGCTTTTGCGGAAGTGCTCTTCTGAGATGTCGTGGTAATTTTGAGTTTTCTGTGTGCCATTTCTGATTAAAACAAAGAAAAAAATTCGTGACACTTAATACCAACTTTGCAACCTATATTCACTGAACAAAATTTATACATACAGTGAATATATCTAATATTTTTTCGATAAAAAAGAACCAACACTAAGTACTTTGTTTTATCGCTTTATTTTCAGTATTCACTTCTACAGTTGGATTTGGAGAATTCACTTCGAATCATCCGCTTGCTGATGACAATATAATTTGACAAAACTATAGTAGCGAATATTGTAAAATGAAGAGATAAAAAACAAAGTACATATTTTTTATATACGTAACGTTAATTAATATAATATCTGACTAAAGTTTTTTCTTTTTTTCTTTTTTTTTCCTTTTAATTACCTCAATGCATTTGGGTTCATGTAATTTTAAAGACGCTGTCCCATATTGCCTTCCGCATAAATAACATATAAGAGTCCTGAGTCCCTTTGTTTTTAAATCCGCATTCCCATTTCGGTCTTGATTCAGTCTTGAGTTCATTTTTGCCACATTTTCTTTCTTTTTTCCTTTTTTATTTTCTTCGCTCTTTAGAATTTTTGTAATAGAAGACACTATTGTCCCTCTTCCAAGTTTAGTTGGGGACGTATTTCGTACTGATAACGAAACTTTTTTGTTAAAAGGATGAGTATGAAAACGTTCCGGTTTATCGTTTCTTCCGCAACTGCTACATGAAAACTGGTCATGTTTGGTCGATTTAAAAATTGCTGCTGATGTTTTATTTACAGGTGCGTCAGCTGTCGTGATGATACCATCATTATTCTTTATTCTGACGTCATTAGTATTATATGCGGCAAGGGTATGCCTTTGTCTGTCGATAAAGGGTCGATTGATTTGTCCTTGAACGCCTGATTTGCCACTTTTAATATCACTAAGCTTGACATATTGCCTATGTCTATTAAACAACTACAAACAAAATAGCTTTTCTTTTAAGATTGTTAGATCGATAGAAGACTTACATTAGAAGCAATAATTTAACCTAAAGCAAATGGGTCTTAAAATCACAAAGTATAATAAAAAAAAAAGAAAAGGTAACGGTCCGCTGCTCGATGAGCGACTGCGCATTCTAATAACACGTGAACAATGTCAGTTTTATTGGTACAATAAATCCAATAAAGTACAATCAATGCGAAAGTTGTTAAGTATAGTTAAACCTTTAAAGTGAGATTTAAGCGATATCGCATTTTTTTCGATATTCTGTATAGTTCCTTATCTGGTAGTTTCGGCGTTTTAAGAACCAGTCTTTCAGGAAAATTTAGTTAATTGCCCATAAAATATTTATGATAAATTTGAATTTCGTTTCTAAAGTTTTTTTAAATTGAAAGAAAAATACTAAAATAGAATACAATATTCATTCAGTGTATTTTCATCAATTATGTGGTTAAAATTAACGTCCTATGATTAGGACAGATTATACTTCAAGGTGTCGCTTAATATATTTTGACATCGTTTATTTTTTTGAATTTACTTTTATGATATGCATTTCATACGATAAAAACACCCAATGATTTCATGGGAATTACTGAACTACAAATTTCAGTATTAGTAAGTATAACAGATTTAGTCAAGTATAAAAATTACTTCCTAGGACAGGTATACAATATCATGTTTTGGTAACACATTTAATTTGTTGAAACATTGTTTAAATTATTTGCTGACCTGAAAATATCAGCCTTTAATGAGTAAAAAAAAAAAGTAACAATAAGAACTTTGCAAAAATTTGTTTTAATAAAAAATATAGTTAGTAAAGAAACCGCTAAGAAAATTACAAATCGGTTTAGCTAAACTTTACGAAAAACTATCAGAATGACCGTTTATCTCAATTTTTCTTTTTGGTTATTATAAAGTAACAAATGAAAGTGGATTATTTTCGTTATAAGTTGTACCGTAATCATAAGGTACGTTTATGTATAAATATAAAGGAGCATATTGTTTAGAAGAACTATTTATTAATCACTTAACAATTGTTTCGACTAAAAAGTCTTTATCACGAAAACAGATAAGACTATATAAGTTAATAATATAATTAAATATTTCATTGAATCAATATACTCTTTTATTTTTTAAAATAGTCTAAACATTTAAATAAATTATGCAGAAGATGCGACTGAAGCTCCCAAGAAGAACATGCTCCGATTAGCTTCAAATTTTTANAGTATCTACCATGGTAAACAGTGTAATAGCATGCTTTCACTAAGGTATTAAGGGTCAACCTGCACAGTACCCACTTTATAAACAAGGGTCAACTCGTATCATGCCCAAAAACAAAGCACAAAGGGTCGACTCGCATACTTCTCAAAACAAAATGTATTATATTGAAATATCATCATAAAAACTCATAATAATTAACGTAAACGAATCACAATCGATTAACCATGTAAAATTGGTCACCCATTGAAATAATTCACATTTAAGGTGTATTGAAAAAACAAAAACTAACACTTTTATAAAACAGGTGAATAATATTACTGAGCCGACTTTTATATTTTTCACTACCGACGAGTTACAAAAGACTGCCTGTATAAATATACTCTTTTATTTTTTAAAATAGTCTAAACATTTAAATAAATTATGCAGAAGATGCGACTGAAGCTCCCAAGAAGAACATGCTCCGATTAGCTTCAAATTTTTAACACAGATACTGTTCTTTGCAGCGTATCATTGAAGATTGGAAGAAACCCCTTTTTACCCCACGTGGAGTAATACAAGGATTTGTCCAGAAGGACTCTGTTAGTTATTTTATTTTATTTAAATGTAAAAAGCTAAATATTGATATAAAGAACCATCCATAAATTACGTCACACGAATTTCATGATTTTTTTACCCCTCCCCCGCCCTTGTCACAGCTGGTCACATTTGTGAGACTCCCCCCTTCCTAGTGTGACGTCACATATTTTGCAATTTTTACTTCTACTTCGTCAACCCCCTCCATCCCCCTTAACGTGTGACATAATTTATGGATGACCCCTAACCTCGTATAATTACACTGCTGGAAGTGACTGGAATAAATACACATAATGTCGTAATTTCTAATAGGTTTTTCAATTTGCCTTGGATTATTGTGGAATTTACTTGTTTGTTAGTGTTACTTTATTTATTTAGTGGCCATTTCATAAAAGACTATTTACAAAAAGGACAATTAATAGTGTGAAAGCGCATTCTAGTAGGGTTCTTATTCAACCGTCAGTTGCTGGTGAGTTAGATTATCAATGATTTTCCTAATTATTAGTTTAAGCGTTTCATATCTCTTTAGGTTATCATCAAATATCCCATATCATTATTATATCCCATATCATTATTTGACAACAAATATCAAGATTTAAACTTAACTAGAAAATGTAATATTTACTTTTTGTATTTTTTGTCGTTGTAAAACGATGTCAAACTTTGTGCACTTGGTGCTAAAAAACTAGCATCGTACTTGAAATTTTTCTGAGAAGTGTCCTAAATGGCGCTTTCTCTAGCGTCCCTATAAAAGGGAGCAGGTACTAAATTTCGAGGAGTTCCAATTCTAATTCTGTTCTTGCAACATGCCAAATTTTCTACGTCTTTTCCATTTTTTATTTTAAGTTAAGTGTTAAGTATAAATTAAGTTAAGTGTAAGTAATAAGGAATAAAGTTGTTTTCAAAAAGTGTGTACTGGTTTACTTGCTTGGAAGTGAGCGTGTACAGTCCAATTTAAGAACGCAACATAGTAGTGGGATACAACAATTCCAACTACTCCCGGTATCTGAGCCAAAATTCGCAGCAACTGGGTACGTCCCTGTCAGTGCTGCATCGGAGCGAATGGGCAATTTCAAAATTTTTAATAAAGGGTACGCTTTTCTTTTTCACGTTTACTTTTTTACAAGGTGGAAGTGCATTCGGCTCTTTCCCCGTAGATACTTGTTACATCCACACTTGATCAGCTGAGTGTCGTTACTCGCCTACATCCAGGCCCGTAATGAAACAAATTGTACATTCAAATTTACAAAGACGATTTGCGAGCTCAATTGTCACTGGATTGAAAAATTGTATCACACTTTTTTGTTGTATTTTGTGTCAGGAAGCCTGATTTTTCTTTTAATTATTATAAATGAGACACCCTGTATACAGGGTTTCGACCCAAGCCGGTATACGGTGCATATACAGAAAATATTTTTAGTCATACAGGGTGCTCCATTTGTATGTATATATATATTTTTATATTGTTGTACCTATCTCTACTAGTTTTTGAGATATTCAACTGTTTAAAAAAAACACGATTTCAACACGTCGAATGAGACCAAACAGCATCTAAACCATAAAAGCTAAAAAACCTACAATTTGAACAAATCATTTTGGCATAAATTACCGCATCTTTTTTTCTATGGGCAGAATGTCTAAGTTATTCAAAGCTGGAAATATTAAACCTACTTTTGACAATCTTACAAGACGAATAACTTTTTTTTAATAAAATGACCCATTAAAAGATATCGTTCGACGAGAAATTAAAAACCTTTTCTACTGATATAAAGTTTTAAACATAAAACAATCGATTTTTTCTAAAAACCTGTTAGAGATAAATATCAGTAGATTCTTAGATGAAATGCGAAAATACGCAAAGTTAATCTCATTAATAGAAGGAAGAATAAAAACCAGCAACACAGAAATACTTTAACAAAACCTTTGTTAGACCACTAATAGAATGACCTGAAAACAAAAAACAAAATTCCCTTCCCCAGTCGCTCCCAGCCTCCTTGACGCATATACCAACTACTACGAAAGGTACCTCAATTTATAAAACAAAAGTAGCGTTTATGATTAGGTAAAATTATTTCCTCAAACGCTAAATTAAGAGTATAAGTTTTTACTTATCTACATTTTTTCACTGCAATCTCGACCAATAAGAATTGAAGCCAATCAGAGCATAAACAATATGATGCATTTGTTTCTATTTCTTAAATAATATTAAATACTCTTTTTTATTAACATGTTTGGTACCTTATTTGGGTCTCCGCTGCTTATTTCATTTTCACTTTCGTCCACTGTTTTAAAAGCACGCTTACGGTGGGTCTTGAAGATAGGTTTCGACTTTTTAAAACCGTCTGTATTTACAGTATTATTTACTTTTGTAAGTGGCAAGCGACAAAGATTGGATATTGTTAAAAACTCCTTTCTCATCAACGACATATCAATTTTCCCAAGGTATTTGATATCAAGTACTTGAGGTTTTTCTAACGTGGCAGTTAACGGACGTTCCTGGTCTTGATCATGGTTTTGGAAGGTATTTTCTTTGTTTGACGTAACGAAAAGTTTCAAATTTGATTTCCTTTTAACCATCGCGTTCTTTTTTCTTCTTTAATTTTGTAAAATCGTATATTTCCAGAGAGGAAACCAAAAGTAATTTCTTATTTCTCTTTTTCCACCGCTTCATTTACCTATAAATTTGTTATCAATTCAATGTAACTGGCATTATTCAGCTTTAAAATATTTAACGTAGATTTCAATTGCAATTAATTAATTTTTGAATTCAAAACTAATAAAGAAATATTAGCGTATTTCTACGATTTGGAATAGTTATAATTATGCAGTAGACGGTGATCTCACGTTCTTTTTTAGCATAATTAAAATTGACATTGAAAAATTAGGTGTCATTACCAATTCCTTCTGTAACGTAGTTTGACTGTCGTCACTATATTTGTCATTACCATTTTAAGTAATGTACCTGTATGCATAGCTGCTTATTTTTTTATTTTTAAAAATACATAATAAAGGAAACCCCTAATATGATTCAGGATATTATTTAGGCTACGAGTATTATAAACATGAATATATGGGTAGTTCTACAAACNTTTATGTCCTACATTTACATGACTACATTTAGATATACTATCATTACAAGCTGGAAAATTTGTATGTTTATAGGTTTAGGTGTAGTGGGTAATTTCCAAAACTGGTCATTCAATTGTAGAGGTATTTACTTACGAAAAATATTCAAATGCTAATATTAATTTATATGATTTATTTTATGTCGAACAAAATTAAACCTGAAATAAACGTACGTAAGATAACAAAAGTATAATTAAATGAATTAATTACGATGACTTAAACCTAAATATTTCCATATAAACTTGTATTACAAACATGAAACAACTGTTCCTAAACAACAAAAATAAAAGCACTAAATTACGTATGTCTAAATGGTCTGATAAGTCCGAGATGACATCTGTAAAATAAACAAAAAGAAATATATGAGCGACCAATTAAACCACCAATAAATGAATAAAACGAAATGAATAAAAAATATTGTGTGGTTTTATGAAACCACGATGCAAGTGAAATTTTTCGGATTGTAGGCTTTTAACTGTAAATTTTCGGAAAATTATTCGATTTCGGGTATTAAAATTTAAATCGCATTCTTAATCTTATATTAATGATTGGATAATGGGAAACCAATAGTAAACAAGATATCCAACTATAAATTTTAATTTCAATCTGCGTATGAAAATACGGAATACATAATAAATACAATCATTCAGATGATAGACGCATGTTAAAAATTGAGAACAATATTTATCTAAATCATTGAATCATTTTGAACTTCAGTTATTCTGTCAATAATTTCATCTTCGCTTTGAGTTTCACAATCTTTAAATGTAATGGTCGTGCACTTGCACGAACGAGTGAGAATATAAATGTTACACGGTTAGCTCATGCGAGTCATGGGCGCCGCCATATTGGCCTTGGCTGATCTCCCGAGCGCCTTTCACTTTTACCCCTACTCTGCGACCGGCTGTAATGCGACATGCGATAAATGGATGAAAAAATTTGAGGAGATGTAATAAAAGTTTCACTTTAATAAATAATAGTTCATGATTTATATTACAATCTCCTCAGGATCACAGGTATTAAGGGTCAACACGTGAAATACCTCCTAGGAAAATAAATTAAGCTAGTCTAGAGTATCTACCATGGTAAACAGTGTAATAGCATGCTTTCACTAAGGTATTAAGGGTCAACCTGCACAGTACCCACTTTATAAACAAGGGTCAACTCGTATCATGCCCAAAAACAAAGCACAAAGGGTCGACTCGCATACTTCTCAAAACAAAATGTATTTATATTTAGTAACACCGAATAATACACAATTTGGAGAAAGCATTGCACTACAACAAGCAAGCAACATTGAAGCAATTTTATGTTCTCTCGGAAAAATATAATTTTGAATCATTGTGTAACACTAATACAGCATTACACTCGTAATTATCCGTATTAAAAAGAAGTCCTTGTACAGAATCCATTCGCAAATCCCTCAAATTTTCCTGATGAATAAAAGATACAATTTGGATTTGTCGTGGATAAGTAAAATTCATTTTAATTTTTATTTAAAAAAATAAAATGCACTTTCTCTAATTTTAAATATGTAAATTGTTCTTACTCTGCCTTTTTGTATTACAAAATAACCAATTTCTTCTTCGAAACATTCACTTAAAATCGAAATCACTTCTAATGCTTAAAAAAAGAATTTCAATATATATATTACTCATTAGCAAGTTAATCTAAAAACGGTTCAAAACAATAAAATTATACATTTTACTTTACTACATTCTGTCCACCTGTGCAGTAAAATTATTTCCTTTGTCGTACCTACCCACGAAGGTAATCAATCTTCATGAAATAATCGATTTCAGGGGTAAACGGTGAATACTTGACAAAAGAGACGCAGTCACTTCAAGGGCGACTTTTTTGAATGGTTATCGAACAGGTTGGTCTAAATTATTTCACGGTCACTCCGCACTATCTCCGGTGGTAGAAACAACGCTTTTCACTAACGAAATGAAACAATAATAATTTTCTACGTTTCGTTACAAATAAGTAAAGAAACAGAAAAAAAGTACATGTTGAATAGGTATGTGTCATTCCGAATGTAACACCTACGCTTAGAATAACAAAAAAAAGTTGTTTACTAAAATATTCATATTACAGGCGAGAAAACTATCTTTTCAATCTAACTCATTTTTTGTGTGTTAGGCTGTGCTTGTAAATCTTAAGATATACCTGGTTGAGCTGATAAAAAATGAGACTATTTTTCAGAATTTCACCATTAGCTTGGTATGTTGTTTCATGTAATAAAACAATGTAATATATTATCCAACCCAAGAAAGAATGAACTTGTGTCAGTATAGGTGAAGCAAAAAAAAAGTGTTGATTCATACACTCTTATTAGGTAGGTACTAGTAATACCCCTGATTCGATCTAGTGTAGCTCTATCCGTTTTTAATGCCACATTCATCAAATTATACTCTACAATCATGTCATGTATTAGTTCACTATTCTCTTCTATGTCTATCTTTATTTTTGTTAGTCGATTTAAGAAGGATAGTGTACTTGAATAGCACTGCAAATATTATATTTCTTCGCTCTTCACTTTTATACACACGATTATACATACTAATACACTCGTAACTCTTTTACCAGATCTTGTTAGAAAACAAGTACGGCATAAAATGACTAATCCGGTTTAATATTAATTTAATACCCACCTTTTGGCGTTTTTTATGTCCTACATTTACATGACTACATTTAGATATACTATCATTACAAGCTGGAAAATTTGTATGTTTATAGGTTTAGGTGTAGTGGGTAATTTCCAAAACTGGTCATTCAATTGTAGAGGTATTTACTTACGAAAAATATTCAAATGCTAATATTAATTTATATGATTTATTTTATGTCGAACAAAATTAAACCTGAAATAAACGTACGTAAGATAACAAAAGTATAATTAAATGAATTAATTACGATGACTTAAACCTAAATATTTCCATATAAACTTGTATTACAAACATGAAACAACTGTTCCTAAACAACAAAAATAAAAGCACTAAATTACGTATGTCTAAATGGTCTGATAAGTCCGAGATGACATCTGTAAAATAAACAAAAAGAAATATATGAGCGACCAATTAAACCACCAATAAATGAATAAAACGAAATGAATAAAAAATATTGTGTGGTTTTATGAAACCACGATGCAAGTGAAATTTTTCGGATTGTAGGCTTTTAACTGTAAATTTTCGGAAAATTATTCGATTTCGGGTATTAAAATTTAAATCGCATTCTTAATCTTATATTAATGATTGGATAATGGGAAACCAATAGTAAACAAGATATCCAACTATAAATTTTAATTTCAATCTGCGTATGAAAATACGGAATACATAATAAATACAATCATTCAGATGATAGACGCATGTTAAAAATTGAGAACAATATTTATCTAAATCATTGAATCATTTTGAACTTCAGTTATTCTGTCAATAATTTCATCTTCGCTTTGAGTTTCACAATCTTTAAATGTAATGGTCGTGCACTTGCACGAACGAGTGAGAATATAAATGTTACACGGTTAGCTCATGCGAGTCATGGGCGCCGCCATATTGGCCTTGGCTGATCTCCCGAGCGCCTTTCACTTTTACCCCTACTCTGCGACCGGCTGTAATGCGACATGCGATAAATGGATGAAAAAATTTGAGGAGATGTAATAAAAGTTTCACTTTAATAAATAATAGTTCATGATTTATATTACAATCTCCTCAGGATCACAGGTATTAAGGGTCAACACGTGAAATACCTCCTAGGAAAATAAATTAAGCTAGTCTAGAGTATCTACCATGGTAAACAGTGTAATAGCATGCTTTCACTAAGGTATTAAGGGTCAACCTGCACAGTACCCACTTTATAAACAAGGGTCAACTCGTATCATGCCCAAAAACAAAGCACAAAGGGTCGACTCGCATACTTCTCAAAACAAAATGTATTATATTGAAATATCATCATAAAAACTCATAATAATTAACGTAAACGAATCACAATCGATTAACCATGTAAAATTGGTCACCCATTGAAATAATTCACATTTAAGGTGTATTGAAAAAACAAAAACTAACACTTTTATAAAACAGGTGAATAATATTACTGAGCCGACTTTTATATTTTTCACTACCGACGAGTTACAAAAGACTGCCTGTATAAAAGAATTCTGTCATCAGTAACTGCGCCTATGGTTATTAAAAGGGTCACTTGTTCAAGGCGTTATCGCGCCCTTCATATAAACAAAGTCTAGAGAATTCGGACAAGGGTAGACGCATGAATTGTAACAGCTGAAAACTGCTTCTTAATATTTTAACCTTAACAGAAAAATTCGTCTTACAAAAATATCTTGCACAATTTCAAAAATTCTTTCACCAATATTTCGAATAGACCTTCAAGGTGAAGATAGGCTGTGTATACCTATTATTTCGTTAAAATAAAAGTTTTAGGAAAGAGTGGAGGTGCGTGTCCAACCAGTCTTAGGACTGACGACCTTGATGATGATGATGATGATGTAGGTCCAAAAATTCATCGTTTTCTAGGAAAACGTGTTTGAAAATACAAGCAAAGGCGAATTTGAGCCTAGTAGAAAAAACAGCACGGCACCGACGCATTCAATCAGCAGATGTATAGGGTAACCGGTACAGTAATTGGTACTTTAGAAAGCAGTCGACCTTTCTTTCTCTCCAACTTCTCTATTTTTTTTTATTAATGTATGCAAATACCTGCATAGCGGATTAAGAACTGTTTAATGTTTAATTTGTTAAGAATATATTGTCATGATTTTATTATTAATACTATAAAAATCGCGCATAAATTAAAGGCAGTCTAAATTTCAGTTATTAACACTGACATTATAGTAACTGTCACTATAGCGATTGGCAGTCACTTTTTAGTACATTGGGCAGTAGGGAAGGCAGAGGAATATTTAGACAAGTAAAAAATATGACCTAGCAATTACTTTTGTAAATATATTTATATATTTTTTAAATTACAAGTTTTACATTTAAAATCGTTGTCATCTTTAATGTTGAACATATTGTATTTTTCTATGGACTTTTTATGCNAATAATATTACTGAGCCGACTTTTATATTTTTCACTACCGACGAGTTACAAAAGACTGCCTGTATAAAAGAATTCTGTCATCAGTAACTGCGCCTATGGTTATTAAAAGGGTCACTTGTTCAAGGCGTTATCGCGCCCTTCATATAAACAAAGTCTAGAGAATTCGGACAAGGGTAGACGCATGAATTGTAACAGCTGAAAACTGCTTCTTAATATTTTAACCTTAACAGAAAAATTCGTCTTACAAAAATATCTTGCACAATTTCAAAAATTCTTTCACCAATATTTCGAATAGACCTTCAAGGTGAAGATAGGCTGTGTATACCTATTATTTCGTTAAAATAAAAGTTTTAGGAAAGAGTGGAGGTGCGTGTCCAACCAGTCTTAGGACTGACGACCTTGATGATGATGATGATGATGTAGGTCCAAAAATTCATCGTTTTCTAGGAAAACGTGTTTGAAAATACAAGCAAAGGCGAATTTGAGCCTAGTAGAAAAAACAGCACGGCACCGACGCATTCAATCAGCAGATGTATAGGGTAACCGGTACAGTAATTGGTACTTTAGAAAGCAGTCGACCTTTCTTTCTCTCCAACTTCTCTATTTTTTTTTATTAATGTATGCAAATACCTGCATAGCGGATTAAGAACTGTTTAATGTTTAATTTGTTAAGAATATATTGTCATGATTTTATTATTAATACTATAAAAATCGCGCATAAATTAAAGGCAGTCTAAATTTCAGTTATTAACACTGACATTATAGTAACTGTCACTATAGCGATTGGCAGTCACTTTTTAGTACATTGGGCAGTAGGGAAGGCAGAGGAATATTTAGACAAGTAAAAAATATGACCTAGCAATTACTTTTGTAAATATATTTATATATTTTTTAAATTACAAGTTTTACATTTAAAATCGTTGTCATCTTTAATGTTGAACATATTGTATTTTTCTATGTACTTTTTATGCGTCTGTGTTTGAACATGTGAATCCGCTACAAGATTTATATTTCTGGTACAAAAGAAACACAATCCGTAGGTATTCAACAATCATCTTGGAAAAAGGTATTCTTTGCACACTCAATAGCTTCATTTATATAAATATTCAAAATTATATTAATTTTTTTATTACAATGGTTACTATCATGCATTTGGTTTTCGTTAACGATAACATCATGAACGACCTAGTTAGTAGCAGTTCTTTCCTGTAAGAAACTAATTTGCGACAATACTTTAGTTTATAATCCTTTAGATTTTATATTTTGAGTGGTTATTGTTGGATTCGTACACTTCTTTTTTTCAACTTTTTTACTTCATTATTGTGTTTCTTCTCTATTCGTTTACGCTTTCTTTCTTCCTCTTCGTTTTCTTAGTTAAAATTTTCAACTGCAATTTTTTCCATTGTTCAGAGATTAGTGCAAATGGCATTCTAACCGACTTTCTTGTACCTTTTCTAACTGGACACTCTGACTACATTAGATAATCTCCAATTGAGGCATTACTTACTTTTAATTATTGTTTTACTGATTTTTCTCTACAGTTTGAGTAAAACCTAAAATTCTTCTGATTCTTGTCCAGATGCTTTTTCAACTTTATTTAATTTGGTTATTATATCATTGCCTGTTAGTTCTTTGAATCTTAAGTACGGTATTGTATAACCCCGTTTTTTTTTGTGCTTGATTCGGATTTTATTTTGCCTAGACATTTTGTGTAATTATGGTGTCAGGGTTTCACGGACATAAGCCTGTTGTTATTACTTCATTTCGTATTATTGGAGTTTACTCCTTAAAAATTGCTTCATATATAGCGCACGGTATGAAAAATAGATGGGTAGTAAAATCAAACGTTAAGAAAAAGTAAAGGGTCACATTTCCTCTGCGTAATACGAGGGTGGATTGATAAGTTTCCGGCCTGACCAAGAAAAACAAGGTTTTTAAAAATTTTTTTTTTTTATTTCTCAACATAATCTCCTCCAAGGCTGATACATTTCTCATAGCGGTGTTCCAGTCTATTAATGCCATCTCTATAGACTGATTCGTCAAGCTCCTCAAAATAACCATTTACAGCTTCGATTACTTCTTCATTGTCCGCAAATCTCT